CTGGCCAGGTCTCAAGGGTGAGGTGGAGAATTACTGTCAAACCTGTGACCATTGCACAGCAAAGAAACAACCTAAGGGACCCCTTAAGGCCCCTCTAGGGGAATACACAGTTGGAGAGCCTATGGAGCGAGTTGCTATGGACATCTTAGGACCTCTCCCGCTGACAAAGTCAGGACATCGCTTCATCCTTGTTATAAGTGATTGTTTCACTAAGTGGACTGAAGCTGTTGCTATCCCTAACCAGGAAGCTGTCACAGTCGCTAAAGCTTTTGTGGATGTGTTCATCAGTAGGTTTGGCGTGCCTATGCAGATACACACTGACCAAGGCTCTACATTCGAGTCAAAGCTTTTCAAAGACATCTGCGACTTCTTACAGATCCACAAGACCAGGACAACTAGCTACAGGCAACAATCAAATGGAGCTGTGGAAAGGTTCAACAAAACCCTTGCACAGATGCTCACAATGTATTGTGAGAGGGATCAGAAGCGGTGGGACGAGTACTTGCCTCAAGTAATGATGGCCTACAGAGCTTCAATGCATTCCAGTACTGGGCGCACACCCAACAAAATGGTCTTCGGAAAGGAGATAGTTCTGCCCATGCAAGCAGTCATTGGGAGGCCAGAAGAGCTTCGGGATCAGGCTGATGTTGAAACATATCTCTTAACATTGGAAGATAGGCTGAAACGAGCTCACGAAGCTGGCAGGAGATCCCTGAAACAGACAGCAGAATATCGGAAGAAGAATTATGATCTCAAGGCCAAGGGAAGATGTCTTAAAGAGGGACAAGCTGCATGGCTCCACAACCCTGTACGGAAACGTGGGGTCTGTCAGAAGCTCACTTCAAGTTGGAAAGGACCCTATCTCATTGAGAAAAGGATAGATGATGTCACCTACCTTGTGAGAAGGTCCCTTAAGCAACCTTCTAAGGTGTTTCATGTGGATCGGCTGCTACTCTACAGAGGGAAGAACCTTCCCTCATGGATCAAAAGATGTCAGCAGTCAACTTCAAGGAACTAGAAGATTAGGCCTTGAGAACCTGTCTTAACAATATCTTAAAGAAAAGTTGAACTTCAGAAGTTTGTGTTTATTGTTAACAATGTTGGAGTTTTATTACGATGTAAATAGTTGGATGGGATAATCTATGTCCCGAAGAAGGATCTTGAGCTTCAGTGCTGAAGCTATTGCTTGCATGGGTTGCTCTGGTAAATCTTAGGGAGCTGTACAAGGACTTGAAGCTTTGTTGGGTGGAACCTCAACTTGTGTCATACAGCGCCAGATATCTGCAAACAGAAAGAACATGTTGATGGAAGTGCTGCAGCAAACGATGATGGATCCGTCATGTAACGCAGTAAGACTAGGCCTGATCACCCTGGAACCTGCTGACTTGATGTTGTTTACATTCTTTCTGTGGCATTTGATCTGGGCATCGTGTGAGAACGGAGTACACAGAACCGATGGAGGTGACCCGTGTAAAGATAGAAGCTATGATTGTCCTGTGAGGCTAAGATATTTATCAGAGATCCATGCAAACCAGTGTCAGGGTTGTAGAGTATTGACCTTAAGTCATAATCAATAGTACAATTACACATGATGGCATTTAAGTTGGAATAATATGCTGCATTGTTGGATGTTTAGGCAAGTCTAAAAGAAAACATTTGTGTTACAGAATACACATAATCGTTGAAGATGGCTCACAAGTATGTCTGTGGACTCGGAGCATGTAAATATTCTTTTGCAACGAAGAAAGAATTGAAAAATCATTTGGCAGCAGCACCACATCGTAAACTCAAGGTAGCCTGTATCCTATGTCCTTCATTCCAGTCCTTTGCAAGAGTGTCAGAGTGGAAGAGGCACTGTGATGCGAAGCACAAGCTACAGCTGCAGGAACTTGATGCAGACTTTACGTCAGAAAGCAACGCCACATGGTTTTCACTTAATCCAGAATCTTATGTAAGGGCGGTACCAGCTCCAGGTTGGAATGCTGCACTTTCAGCAAAGACAAGGGAAATGGTCCTTCTTTGGGTATCAACACAGGGCAGCATGCCAAGAACAGAGGAAGAATGGGAGGAGGGATGGCAGACGATTAAAACGGTTACAAAGACCCTACCAGTGGAGGTGCAGGAGGTAGAAGATGATGATGCTCTGTCTATATTTACAGATGGAATCATAAGTCTTGAACCGGAAGTTAACACACCACCAGAATACGACCCTTCAGAAAGCAAGTGTGGCGCCTCGACTGAACTAGAGATTAAGGACATCCTCCTCCACAGGAATGGTGCTACTGTCCTGTTCTATACGCCTGGGGGTGGGTTTGTGTACGAGGCGGGCATTTCGGAAGAAGCCATGCAGAGTCCAAAGTCCTTCGACAACCTCACAAGGCGGATGAGGACTCTTGGCAGGGCCGAACCCAACTCCAGGCCAAGTGGATCGGGCCAGAAAATGGAGGGACCACAACTGGAAACAAGGAAAGCCACCTTCGCATCACTCCTGGGGATAGAGAGGAACATGATCAACTCCGTTACACACTGGACATCCCCTTTTTCATCAAGGGAACCTTCCCCCAGGCCCAAGAAAAGATCGAATAACTCCAACATGTCTCCCCATAAGGATTCCGCATCAAAGATCCCAAGAAGAGAGGAACAGAAAAGATACCATCAAAGGCCCAGCTCTCCCCCAAGGCCAAGGGAAGTGGACACCATGAGGGATGCCAAGAAGATCTTGACAACAGGTTGCATGCCACTGCTTCCCCCAGCCAGAAGGGACTGGACACACCATCAGATCCGGCTCTCTGCTGGTGCAAGGAGCATCACCTGGCCTCCTAGGAGCTGGGAGACCCTCAGTGCAGATGAGAGACTCCTCCAGTGGGAATTTGCTGCCATGACCCTGGAGGAGGGCCTCCAAGGACGAGTCCCTCGGATTGAAAGGAGCTACTTGCATGACAGATGGAATATGCTTGCCCTCCCTGGTACCCTGCTGCATACAGAGGACCACTCACCATCAAGGAAGGCCCGTCTTTACGATTACCGGACCTTGGTTGACATCTCCTTGGGCAAGATCAACGGCCAGACTGCCAGGGCCATAATCCTCATGCATCAAGCCGCCCAACGCCATAGGAATACGGAAACAGACAGGATCATCAACTCTATCGATGCAGCAAGGATCGGTCTTCGCCTGGAAGCGGATTAGCAGATCAGGGGACCTGATCTTTGAAGAGGGGGATGATGTGATGGCCATCACGAAGAATATATAAATATTAATGTGTCTTTATTATAAAATATGTAAGTTATGACAGCTTGTAAAAATTAGAAATATTTCCTAAATATTTCCCTGTTGTATTTTTGATGGTTATATGACAGTGCACGAATTATATCATAATTATCCTGTAAACTGTAATTAGTTTTGCAGGTATATATCAGTATACTTTTGCCAACCTCGTTTTCACGTAATTCAATGTTTTGAATCCCGTTTTGGTAAGAAATCTATCAGAGGATCATAGCATGCTTTTATAGAGCTTCATGGCACACCGTTATCTCGTAAAAATAATCATATGTCCATGCCATCATGTTACGCATATTGTTTAGGATGTGCCAGTACCTCATAAGCATCGATGTCAACAACGTGCCTGTCAAAACGATCTTGTTTACTTGTTTCAAGAGTTTTGCATTGACCGTAACTTTTGAAGAATTCATCGTTCTAAGCACACAGTTACGCAAATTAACCATCAGATACAGATTAATCATACCTTTGTTCTTCAACAAACAGATCACAATCACTTGGCAGCTTGATATTTATCCATATTTGTGTGAATTTGTGATCAGGGCTGAGCTACGTGTTTCGCCGACGCCCGCCATTTTAACTTTGTGACAGCTAGCCTAGGTCGCGATGAAGTTACTGAATTTGGCTAATGCTTAGCATTTGCATTATAAAGTTTATTTAATCTAATGAACTATGTCCAGAGGAACCCAGAATCGTATTTGATGATATGTCAAGACGTGTATTAAAGTTACTGTTAATTCTGACATCAGGAACTATGTAATCTTCGCTGATGTATTCATGCGCAGTATTTAGCGTCACTATTTATGAACATGTTTCTCATAAATATGACATCCAGTGCTTCTGTCAAAGCATACCAGTGGCCAATTTGTGTTATTAAACGTCCTATGCATCAGATAAATTCCAATTGCCTCCTGACATTTGTAATCTTCCTCTTTGAATTGTCCATCGTAATTCCCAGTCGATGTTGCTTGTTGTTATTACGTCCTCTCGGCAGGCAGCAAGGACGTAGCTTCGACGTAGCAGGACGTAATTGTTTATCTTGTGATATTGGAAGGCAATTAGTGAATCAATTAGACAGAATTCATTGATTGGTATAAATACTCATTTTTATACCAAATTACCTCCTGAGATGGTTTGCCTTCCTCTTTATTTCAGTGATTTTACATTGTGAAAGTAGATCCCTCAAAGGAATAAGGACGTAAAGAGACGTAATTTCTCGTAATTTGATTGGTCAATAACAGACATGTGACCATTTTCTCACACCTATAAATACGATGAGATCCATTCTGGGTCATTCTGACTTTGGCAGTCTAAAGGTCAGTTTCAATCAAAGGGCAGATAATTCAGCCCAAAAGTTCCCCTTGTCCTTATGTAATCATTTCTATAAATAGACTGCATTTTTGAACACAAACACAAATTGCTATCTGAGTAACTGTAAAGTCATCCATATATATATATTAATAGCAGTAAACTACCATTATAGTTACAGGCAATAATTATTTTGCCCTGACACTGGTCCTTACAAATAAACCTTAAAGCTCAGAGGGATCTACTTATTTGGAAGCATTGTGTTGTCCATATAAGGCATTGTTATACCCACATGAATAAAAACTAATTATTCATTGGAAAGAAGTGTTTTGACTCTCAGTTACATCCAGACTTCGAGGTTTATCAGAAGTTCGAGTCCGGGCCGCTACAATAATAACCCACTGTGCCACCGAGGCATGTGGTGAAAGTGTGTTCAATCCATCTGGATGCTGCACGTTGTCTTTCTCTCTCCCGCTGTCACCTGGTTCGTTATATACCGCCTCCCCCTTCCCGAGACATCACATAGTTATGTGTGTGATAACAGATGGTAATCACAGTGTTAGGATCTGGGCTCCATCCTCTGTGATCAGGACTGTGTGTTCAAACTGGGCTGACCGGCAGCTGTCCAGTGTCACGGCCGTCCACCCATCCTCCAAGATACGGAAGTCAGGTTGCCCCGAACAAATAATTGGCTCTGTGGAGACAAGTGTACACTGTAACATCTAGAAGTGATTAATAAACTGAAGAAATTTATACAAAATAAATCACTTAATATAAACCTTGAACAATATGTCCAAAGGCAACAAGACTATTTCACACACTGTGTTTAAAATTGGAAACTTAGAATGAAAGTTTAGGGTCCTTTTCATATTCCTGATATCAAAGATCAAAATTTTAGGGGATTTCTTGATTCAAAGGCTATCAGAAAACCTTAATGTCCCCAGTTGCCCCCTTAATTTTTAACACAACAATGGACAAAATTATTCATCAAGCTGAAAGAAAAAAGTTTTTGTTAATGGAAATGAATGCTGGAGAATTTAAATTGTTAGGGCATACACAAACAGTTCAGATGAGCCTGGTAACTCAGGATAACAACACAGGAATGAGTGGGAAAGTAAGTTTTGTGGGAGGAAAGACTGAAGTCACTAAATAACCCATGATTAAAGGTTTCTTGCATGTTTAAGGGAGGCAACTCTGCACAGCACATTGCAGCACCTCAGACAACTGGGCCACTTTAGCCTTAACACAGGAATAATGGCAGAGATATAGAACTGAGAGCCAGTCAGGGTCAAAAGTAACATGTCAAAACAGTACTAACACATAGTGAAACTCACCTACAGTGAAGGTCATCCTAGGTGCCATGACAGCATTGTCATGATGCTCTGCAAATACATTAGACCAATTAAACATCCGGAGACAGACATGATGTCTACACAATAAACATGTCATCAATGACAAGTCCAGTAAACTGGTGATTAAAGGGAGACAACCACTAACAGGAAAACACTTCACAATCAGACAAAAATCAGATGGGTCAGTTCAGTCCCTGGACCACCGTGGTCAACTCGGTCCCCAGACTACAATGGTCAGTTCAGTCCCTGGATCACCGTGTTCAACTCGGTCCCTGGACAACCTTGGTCAACTCGGTCCCTGGATCACCGTGGTCAACTCGGTCCCTGGACAACCTTGGTCAACTCGGTCCCTGGATCACAGTGGTCAACTCGGTCCCTGGATCACCGTGTTCAACTCGGTCCCTGGACCACCGTGGTCAACTCGGTCCCTGGACAACCATGGTCAGTTCAGTCCCTGGACAATCATGGTCAGCTTGGTCCCCAGACTACAATGGTCAGTTCAGTCCCTGGATCACCGTGTTCAACTCGGTCCCTGGATCACCGTGTTCAACTCGGTCCCTGGACAACCGTGGTCAGCTTGGTCCCCAGACTACAATGGTCAGTTCAGTCCCTGGATCACCGTGTTCAACTCGGTCCCTGGACCACCGTGGTCAACTCGGTCCCCAGACTACAATGGTCAGTTCAGTCCCTGGATCACCGTGTTCAACTCGGTCCCTGGACCACCGTGGTCAACTCTGTCACTGCACCACATGGTCAGTTCAGTCCCTGGATCACCGTGTTCAACTCGGTCCCTGGACAACCTTGGTCAACTCGGTCCCTGGATCACCGTGTTCAACTCGGTCCCTGGACCACCATTGTCAGCTTGGTCCCCAGACTACAATGGTCAGTTCAGTCCCTGGATCACTGTGTTCAACTCGGTCCCTGGACAACCGTGGTCAACTCGGTCCCTGGACCACCGTTGTCAGCTTGGTCCCCAGACTACAATGGTCAGTTCAGTCCCTGGATCACTGTGTTCAACTCGGTCCCTGGACAACCGTGGTCAACTCAGTCCCTGGACCACCGTTGTCAGCTTGGTCCCCAGACTACAATGGTCAGTTCAGTCCCTGGATCACCGTGTTCAACTCAGTCCCTGGACAACCGTGGTCAACTTGGTCCCCAGACTACAATGGTCAGTTAAGTCCCTGGATCACCGTGTTCAACTCAGTCCCTGGACCACCGTGGTCAACTCGGTCACTGCACCACATGGTCAGTTCAGTCTGTGGACCACCACGATCAGCTTAGTCTTTGTACCATGTGGTCATCTCAGTAACTGCCTTACAAACTCACCCACTGGTTCACTCATTAATCATCAGGGTGACAATTGTCTGGACATTTCTATAAATCTATGTTCAAAAGCCTAATATTTCAGATAAAAGGATCCAACTCTATACCAGAGCTATAATATTTTACCAGATATTGCCAGATTTAGACCAAACATATTGTGCTGTACAAACCGAAGTGGAGGATATCCGGCTTTTCATGGAAGTTTTCTCCTATTCCATGTCCGCAGAATTCAGGAATCACAGAGAATCCAGCGCTGTGAGCAGCAGAACTAAAGGAAAATAGGAAATCATTATCAGCATCTGAAGATTACCCACGACATACACTTGATGTAAAATACATAACAGTCAGTCAGTATGGTTCTTCTGGGCAGGGGGTATCCAGAAACAAGCTTCACACATTGTACCCATCTTGTAAATTGGCCCTGCTACCAGTGTTTGAATTGCCAGGCTGCAATCAGGACCCACAGATTTTAGAAGCTGCAGGCTCTGACTAAACTCTTCATGCCCTCATGTCAAAGAACTGCAGCTTATTGTGACAAATAAATCTACACATAAACTTTCTGCAGGCCTTAAGGACTCATACTAATTTGAAACTGTGGGCCAACACGAGATCTACCTGCCACGGAACTGCGTCAGGCAGCTTATTTCAAACACTGTCTTTGACTTCTGTGGGATGACGAAAATCTGTGACTTCTACAACTACCACCTCAAATCAGCCTTGGAAATTCGTTTTTGTCCATAGTAGAACCCACATTTCACTAGTCCTCAGAATTTGTAGCTAGTTCTGCTTGAACATGACAATAATGTTTTCTATGTTTACATTTTCTATCAGTCTTATAAAGTTCAAATTTGCAGCAAAAAAAGCTTTGAGAACTGGGTGCTGTTGTACAAAGCGACCTTAGCACCAAGGTAGAATTACGATAAGCCTAACACTAAGGTTGTTTTGTACAACGGCACACGTGTTCAGAATCATATCCCTCAAATGACACTAGTCAATGAGTACTAGCATCACTGGATACTTTTTTGTCCTCAGCACAACATATTTGTCTTGGGCTAGCAAACTAATGTGAATGTGAAAGGATTGATAACACATTAAAACTGTTAAGGTACCCAAAACAAAATGCAATTCCCTCAACCGGTTAGGCAATAAACATCTCTGCATGGTATTAAATTTGTAACAAACCTGATTGCATTGCCAATTTCACAGAATCGGATACCCGGTTTACAAACAGCAACCCCAGCATCTCGGCAACGCCTTGCAACATCAACCAACAGCTGACCTCCCTTGTCAACGTTACCAACTAGATATGTGTTGGAACAGTCACCATGGTAACCATTCAAGTATACCTTGACAACAAAGAAGCACTATATCATTACACCAATCATTTCCACAACATTCCATTTACATGTAGTTAAAGGTGTTTTTAAGAGCAAATTGCATTTTGAAATGCAGCATCGTAATATTTCCTTTTGTATGTAGAGAGTACAATCTGCATCACTGTCAAACACTGTAGCTCCCAATATATTGCTATACAGATACCCGTATCACAATTTATTGCAATAGAATCTATATGCCATTACACAGCCCTAATAATCAATGATTCATTTTGCTACCACTAGACCACGGAGGCAGTGCATGTGGACATAAATATTAAGTTGCATTTTTCAAAAACAGGTTGCACTGGTACATTTTTCATATTGCTAAATCGAGCCCTGCAAGGCTATTACAATGACAAGCAAGTAGTATTCTTTGGGATAACCCCAATGACCCAACATTAAGAAGTTTATCATATCTGTCTGATAATAATTTTCTGTTACCAATTCTGAAGTGAGACTTGGGACTTATTCTAACCCAAACTCCTCCCGGAGGTGTTAAAGAAAACATGGTTATTATTGTGAAAAGGAATTGTTCCTACTGTCACATCAACGTTGATGATGTCTCCGTCCATCAGGGGCCTGCTGTCGGGGATGCCATGACAAGCCACGTTGTTGACGGAGGTACACACAGACTTGGGAAAGCCCTTGTACAACAGCGGAGATGGATATGCACTGTTCTCTATTGCCAGTCTGTGGACAAGTTGGTCAATTTCATCTGTTGTCACACCCACCTGAAGTGAGTGAGTGTGTGATTGGGAGTGTGAGTGGGTGGGTGAGTGGGTGGGTGAGGCAAGGTGGGACAAAGAGGCACAGATATTTCAAGACAGGATTCACTTCAATATATATTCGAAGTATCTGAATTACCTGCATCACTTGATCATTGTTGATGTATTAAACTACCAGATTACCTCAATTGAAAAAGATTGAACCCTTCTTACAACATATTAAATAAGATTTTATTAGTTTGAAAGTCATCTTTTTGTTAATTTTTGGGAAATTAAGAAGTTTGAATTCACAAATGTTGTTCTATTTTAAATACACTTCATACCCACACTTACTTTGTTTTGAATGAGATTAACTCGTCCGTTTGACTAACAGTGGTCCGTTTGGCTAACAGCTATTATGACAAAATAGTCTGGTATGTTTGTCAGTGGTCCACTTTAACAGGTACTATTCATCTTACCCGGATGGCTTCTCCAGCCTTAGCGAGGATGCTGCTAGCGAGGGAGCATGCAGCCTTCATCCCCTCTACCTGTGTCTGGGTCTTCAGAGGAATCGGCTTGCTGGCCGCAGGAACACTCCCTGTCTGTACATACATAGGCCTCTTGATGTGCTCAGGAACATGGCTGACACTGCTTACTTTCTGGGGCTGCACTAGGCTGTACAGTGTGCGGACACAATTTCTGTGTAGTAATGGAGGACCTGTTTTAATTATATCGGAAGGGTTGTGTGATCTTTGCAAACTGAACTGTCTTCTTTGACAGCCTCTATGAATATCAGAGTTGGTGAGGCATGATTGTATCCCCTGTAACTGCAGAGCACCGGATGACATATGTCTCTTTACCTGGCCTATCTTAAACTTCGAACACATTGTCACATTTGTATGTCTGATCATCATCGTCAACACGCATCTCTTACTGGACATGGTTTGAAATGAAACACAGCTCAGTGTGACATGACTGTTATAATCAATACCAGATATGTATGTCTTATTTTAAAAGGTATTTCGTTTACACTAAATGGATACTTAAAAATCGCAGATCTGGTAGCGAGCTTGGCTCAACATTTCTCAACTTCTCTGCGCGGACTCTGCTGCCCTCAGATGACTTCTAAGTGGTTGTATTCGAGCGATGTATTCCGTGTGTTTCTGCCAAGTTCTTGTTCTAGACACATCCAAGATGTCATAATTTTTTTTAACAAAGACTGTTTGGTGAACAGAAATGTCATGTTCAATATCTATAGTTCAAAATAATGGCATAAATGGTGTTAACTTATTGATGAGACATGTTTTTTTTAAGCGAATGTTTGTTGATAGAACTATAAACAGTCGTGCAAATATAACCAAAAGCATGGAGACACTTATAACATGCACAAATGTAAACATTTGGCTCTTCTCTTATTGAATTGTCAACAAATCACGCTGTAGCTCCAGAATGGATAATAACTTGCTTTTTTCAATGTACAAAATTAATGTTTTATCAAATGAGAAGAGGTTTTTTTTAACGTTGTCGGTGTTCTAAGCAAAACGTGGAAAGTGCAGACGAAAACATACCGGCGTGTCGCCTGCGTGTTGGACTCAGTAAACCAAACTCTTTGGACAAGTAAACAGGTGACGTATATTAAGAACAATAAAAAGATAAGAATTCTGCAAATGCGACATGTGTTTATCATAGCTTGTTTTAATTTGCATACAAACATTGCTCGATTTTGTGATCTGTTAACGAATCACTTCTCCGCCAATGAGCAATCACCACGACTCTCTGAACGGGCAGTAACGGTACACTCCACGCTGACAACAGTGAGTCGCCACCGACTGGAATGTCGGCAGTTACTCAAACAATATTAAGACAAAGGTATATTTAAAGATTGAAAAAATATGTATTACTCTTTTGTGCACACATTTGCCTGTTCATATTTTGACAGGTGCGCGTTTTGACTATAAGTAGTTACGTCCCTTTGATTTTCTGTGTTCCATATTTGAAGCACACGAAATATTATGAGACAAACTGGTTATATTCTTGAGCAACGAATCGATAGATCCGTAGATCTCATTAATTTCAAGACTAAATAAACACTGATAATCTCACTCATGACCATCCAAAAAAAAGAAGAAGAAGAAGTAAGGATTATATATAAATACTGAACATCTTTCTTCACATTTTAATTGAATACAACATCAAATATTACTGTAAAACGCATATAATACATGACCACTGTGACTTTTGTGTTTTGGCTAGTAGGCTACGCACTAATATTTATAGTTTTGGAAGCTGGTCAGATAAATGTGTTAAACCTCTATAAGTATAACTGGGGACCTAAGAACTATATGTCCGTGCGACAACAATTTTTTAAGTTTACATATTTTGTGAAGTGCTTTCAACAACAATAATATTACTTCCAAAATGCATATTGCCTTAAGCATATTTGCATTGGCATTCATGATTGAATAAATACCTCATATATTACCAAAGTGTTCAGTAATGTAAATTTTAGAAGTAATATTAAAGTATTAGATATTCTCTTTGACAGCCTTAGGATGGATGTGCTTGGTGTTGCCCTGTGCCTAGTGGTGTTGTTTACAGTTGGAGAAACACAGAGAGATAAACAACTGTATTGTGCTGGTGAGTTCAGGCACCATAAGTAATTATGGTATAATATGGAATTTAAGTGTGAACAGACAGATGTGCCACTGATTTTTGTCCATTATAATGTAGGCACTGATCATAATTAGAGGTAAAGTATGGTTTTAAGTTAATATATCATCTTACATCATGTACACTGTAGAGAATACACCAACAAGTATATGTCATGATCGTGTGTAAATAAATCAAGTCTGAGTATTTATAGTCATGATGGCAACAAACTTCTATCCATTATAATCACAAGGTTTAAATTTGAAAATAACTTTTTGCAAAAAATGCAATCATTTTCAGTGAAGTTTATTATGGTCGCATTTTTATTTCTGTGATAGCCAAGTTCCATAATGTTACTTGTAAATTCAGTAGTCAGTCAATCCAGACAGTAAGAAAAAAAAAGAAAGAACAGCATAATTTCTCATTTGTGGCAATCCAGTGATTGACATCTTGAGCATTGATCTATGCAATTGGGACATGATGGCGTTTTGCAACTTAGTCGGCTAGCCTGTCCGTGGCTCCTATGACAAGCATAGGGTTGCTGAAGACCAATTCTAACCCAGATCTTCATGGGGGCAGTATTAAAGAAGGAACAATGCTCCACTGTCTGGATCCCATTTCCAGCCTAAGTCTACACTTTGTTATTAGGGCTATGCGTAAAATTTAGGCATTGTCAATTATTGTAATCTTTAACAGCGGGATGCACATTGTTTGAACAACTTGAATAGAATAAGCTTGGACTGCCAATTTTCCAGTCTAGTTTCCCATAAGTGCTTGGTTATAAATAATAAGGCAACTGTCTTCTATTTACCTGCAGTGTGCCGAGTTGTGGTGGATGAGATCAACTGGAGTATAAGTCAAGTCGATCCAAAGAAAACCCTGCAAGCTGGGAGTTTCCGTGTGGATCCGAAAGGCAACCAGGCGATCAAAGAGGTAGGTGCTGAAAACAAGGTGTCTAACATAGCTTTCTTTCAATTTTCTACTTTCACTTTTTTCAATTTTATTACAAACTAAATTGAGTTACATGTTTGGAAGCACAGTAGGCTTTTATCCTCTGTCAGGTTTAATAATGCTATATTGTAAATCCTGTGAAGGGATTCTTGTTAAGAACTGGTCTTCAGCAACCCATGTATGTCGTAAAAGGCAACTAACATGATTGGGTGGTCAGGCTCCGTGACTTGGTTGATGCATGTCATCGTATCCCAATTGTGTAAATCGGTGCGCATGATGTCAATCTCTGGATTGTCTGGTCCAGACTCGATTATTTACAGACCACTGTCATATAGCTGGAATATTGCTGAGTGCAGCATTAAACAACAAAGAAACAAACTATATTGTAAACAATGGCGGACATGGATGTGTTTGTGTTGTGTACAGATTCCATATGCAAGATCAGAGACTCACTTGACGGAGCTAGTGGAAGAGGTGTGCGGTCGCATGAATGAATATGCACAGACAACAGATGATGATGGCAAGAAAAACATTGTCAGGACCAACTCCAGGAATGGCAAACCTCTGTCTCTCAAGAACATCAACATCAACAGAGAGATACAGAAACAGCTAGGATTCTATGTAAGATGATATCACATTTCTGCTTTCACACAGCATTTCAGAGTATCTTTGATCATTTATTGGACTAAGGTTGCATTGTGAACACTCAATAACTTTAAGACAAGGTAACATAAACTGTTATAAGATTTTGCCTTTCTACTGCATTTTGCATTTAGTTGAATGTGAGACAGTGTTCCTTTGAACGGTTTTCCTTCAAGTCTCTTGCCTTCTTTCTTTCATTAAGAACTGATGTCATCTCTTTGGTAACCCATAGCTTTTTATTATGTCAGTTTTAAGTTGCTTTACAGGCATGAAAGTATCCATACAAAAATTGAAAATATTTCTTGAATTTCACTTCCATATTTGTCAAAAGTTGACCAAGTAGGGTGCTTATTAAAACCATTCACTAGCTGAAATTCACTAACTGCAACAATGCATTTTTTGTGGCAAATGAAAAAAAATGTTTAACACTCTGAAGCATAATAATTTTTTAGAGCATTTTCTGGGACAATATTTTTTTGGATAAAATCCCACACTAGAAGATCAAATGCTTGGTCCCTTATCGGACCAGGGTGCTTATACAGTGCATATGGATGGTGTACTGATAAAACTGTCAACAATAAGTTTGAGAGCTTGTATTCCCTTCTATTCTTTCTCAATTGATGACAAATTCTGTTCTGTACATTAAGCTATGCACAGATGTGATGCCAGTGTGTCCTGTTTTAGTGTGACTCGCTCATCGAGGAGCACGAGGAGGACATCATTGGGCTCTTCAAACGCAAGACTTTACCTAATGCAGACCGAATCATCTGTGGAGATATTTCAGGTATGTCCCTCTGGAGAGTTGCTTGTCTGTCTATAGTTTACTGTATGTTTTATCAACATGAGAAGAAAATCATGAACATAATCAAACTCAATGGAAATTGTTACATGGAGATGATATGGTAAACATGAATGGACAATTCTTCAGCAATATACAGCATTCACATACTCATGTACTCTTTTATCATGTAATGAATAAAGTGTTATACATTTTGTACTTAATCTTGCTTTACATATTGCATTTCCTTCTGTTTCTCTCAAAAAACATGACTGGAAACGTCATCCCTTGAGAGAAAACCTGTTCTTGTTTAGTTGCCTTTCTACTATGTACAGTTTAACATTGTTTATGTTATTCTGACTTTTCTTTGTGCATGTTTTCTTTGCTGTCTTTAGAGATGACATAACTCTCTATATTGTGTGTCTGAAGCCTAAGTTGGCTACGGACCCACAAAGTTAGCTGCCCTGTATGCTGTTATCAAGGACGTTTGTCGACCCTTCAGTATTTCTACCTTTGTTGATCATCTACAAGTGTGTCCGAAGAGGAGGCTGCAACAACATTAATGACGTCATTCCACAATGGCAGATGCTTCTCCACCGCTGACCTCCCCTCCATCATCTTTGGGCAACAGCTGCTTCAGTCCCCAGTATCCTACCAACTCCAGCAAACTCTGGCCCCCCCACCCCCCCCCCGAGATGTAACAGACAATCATTTCCCAGGTCACGGCACAGGTGACGTCTCAATTGGAGAAACGTGGCCATGCCTTTACCGAAAGGCTACTCCAGTTAGTCAGAGGTGCCTGGTGCCTGGTGCCTGCCTCACCTGAGACTCCAGAAAAGAACTCCACACTTTATACTCCAGATGTACAGCATCCGACATCTTGTCATCACGCCAGGCGCTCATGTCCAACGGCTAACCAGGGTATGAAGGGCCTTCAAAGCACAACAGGTGCTCGGAGCATGACAGGCGTTCAGTGATGGACAGACGCTCCGTGTTGGACAGCTGATTAGAGGCCCTCTTTGTCTGATGGGAGGCGCCCAGTGCATTTTGCTCCTTCTATGCCTGACCGGTTGTACAATGATTAGATCTTCTTACCCTCGTCTTTCTCCTTCCTCATAACAGTACTTGTTCCCTGGTTACAAGGAAGGCCATAATCACCTGGCTGACTATGACATCATTGAGAGGCTGGCTGATCAGTTATCCCTACTGTTGGATGGGTTTATAAGGGATATGACGCTTGATGATGACTTCATGATGATTTCAAACCACTGCGCTTCAGCAAAGGATTCCCACCCATCCATGACATGGATTATGCCAATCGTGCACCACTTATCAATGAGGACATTCATTGCTTAGCTAGAACGTCAAAACCCAGCTCTTATAAGGTGCAGGATTCACAGAATTACGGAAGTTGATATGCAGAGCTCTTTCTTTTTCAATGTTGGCTTCATCTAATACAGCGATTTCCCATGACCTGGTACAACCTAATAGTCACCGGGTGGAACATTTGCAGTCTGTTGTCAGTTGGCAAGTGCCTAATTGGAGATTATGAGGAATTAATGTCCACTAGTTTACTGCAGAGGCAGAGAATGTCGTCAGCCTCATCTTGGGGTGCCGAATTTACAAGGCGACTAGTGAGACAGAAAGGACGTCACAGTCACAGACTACTCTACGAACAATACAAGCACTGGAGCATCAGACTAGACGACCTGCCTCTTATCAACTAACTTGGCCCTCTGTCCATCAGGGCAGACATCGTCCCCACTCAGAAGTTACTACTGCAACTGGATTGGCCGATCAACCAGACGAAGACTGAACCCTGACATTTTTAGAGGGCCTCTTTTGCACAGACTAAGGTCTCCTCCAGGTAACCCCAGACAGGTGGATACAGTCACTGCCATAACAGGGCCTCTCCGCCTACAAAACTGGCAAGTTCTAATCGGGCTCCTGACTTAGTCCCAAGACATCACCATCAGAGGGAGACCCCAGTTAATGCCACTGCAACATTTCCTACAGCTGTACTTGAAGCTAAACTACAGCCGTACGTTTGTTCTCCCGGCGTTTCTCCAGTAGTTGACAATCCCATCAAATGTCTTCAGTGGAGCAACCCATTTATTCGACGATGTATCCCTTCCACTTCCTTTGTTACAGGCTAAGTAGGCCAAATATTTACCTGTTAGCAATGAGCGTCAGCTGTCAACCTCTGGTTTACGTCTCTCCAATTCCATATCCGTTGGGATCTGTGGGAAATAGATGCTCTAGCCATCTCATGGGAGTGGCTAAACGCCTGTCATTATTTTATTTACGCGACATAGTTGTTGAAGACTTTGAAGGCGTCCATTCTTTTGGGCCACAGGTGGTAACAAAGCAGATCGCCAACCCCAAACAATCCTGGTAGTGGAACCCGGATACTGCCACCTGAGCGTCCCCCACTTGGAGGTGTGTTGAGGGGACACAGGGGTTATGACATTCATGATGCGTCTAGTCAATGTATTAATTTTTGTCCATCAAGCTTGGAAGTACGGTCATGTTAACCTCCCTTTACTTCTGCTGTACAAGATGTTGTTTGGCCGCAATACGACTTGTGACTTACCGAAGGTAAGATCCTCGACCAAACCAAGCTCTTGTGGGCCTTGCTCCAGTCTCCACCTGCAGGTTGCTGTAGCTGTTGGTGTGCACAGAATGAACACTGAAGATATGCCTTTCTCTTGCCATTGGATAAAATGCTATATGTAATGCAGGATTAAGTAAAAATTTATCAATGTCTGATATATTTTATATTTAATACTTATCCTGCATTACATCACAAAAAGGCACCCACAGGCTGGCGCTGCCTCCCTGCTTGTGTCTTCAGTTGATGTTGCTGTTTGCTCAAACAGAAGAGTGACGTGTATATTGACTGGAGCGGTGAGGGCAGGATGTGGTCGGGCGAGCGGTTTCAACTGTGGTCATGAACAGGTTTTTTTCTCAAGGAAGATATTTCCAGTCTTGCTTTGGAAGGAAATGCAATTGGTTATGCAGCTTAAGAATTAAAAATAAAATATAAGAGATACTGGTAGTACTGTTGAATTGTGGTCTGAAGTAGACGTCCATTAACACTGTTGATGGCAGATGAAGGTGTTTCAACAGCATAAAATCATTAATGCCTCTGTCTGAATATTCAATATTCTGTTAGACACACACAGACACACGCACATGCACACTCACACACACTCCACCCACACCCCACACCCCACACACCCCTAGTGTTTATAGCGCTCACTCTTAACTCTGATAAGGGGCGGTCGGGTAGCCTAGTGGTTGAAGCGTTCGCTCGTCACGCCGAAGACACGGGTTCGATTCCCGACATGGGTACAATGAGTGAAGCCCATTTCTGGTGTCCCCCGCCGTAATATTGCTGGAATATTGCTAAAAGCGGCGTAAAACCATACTCACTCACTCACTTAACTCTGATAACCTGGGCTTAATTCCCTACATGGGTACAATGTGTTAAGCCATCCCACAAAGGATATTGCTGGATTGTTCTCTTTAGCTTTCATATTTTTCGTATGGTGGATCAAATGTTGTCAGGAATCGTCATCATTCATCATAATGGGGAAACATCTATTGATCAACTGTGATTGTTACAGTTTTGAATCTTCATTCTCTTTCTTTCGAGATAATATTGACAATGTTCATAACATAGGAAGTCAAACAAATTCAAACTTTGGAGTGAGTGAGTATGGTTTTATGCCTCTTTCAGCAATATGCCAGCAACATCACCAGGGACACCAGAAATTGGATTCACTCATTGCACCTGTATGGGGAATTGAACCTGGGTCTTTGGCGTAACGAGTGAGCGCTTTAACCACTAGACTACCCAACCGTCCCTCAAACTTTGGAGATTTTAATGGATTACAGTGAAAATGATTTGAGGTCTCATAACTCATCTCCAGTGAAACCATTCATCTCTTGTTTCAGCTGCATGTACTGAGGCTGAACTGAGTCAACCCCTAGCAACCTTGAAAGCTGAAGAAGAAGCAGAGGAGATGGAGGAAGAACCTGAGGAAGATCCCGAGGAAGATGAACAGGAACCAGAGTCAATTAAGGAAGAATTATGATGGCCTTCATTTAGCATTCTTGTTTCACTGATGTATTTATTCATTCTCCCATCGTCCATGTGCAGTGTGCACAGGAGTCATCGACTCAGTTTCAGGGTTACGTTTTAGTGTATTTGTGGGAAAGTTTAGAAAAATGTTATGAGAGAATTGTTGACAAAATGACTTATTGTGGCTAAAACTATCTTGGATATGTTTCAGTATTGTTTACTGTGTGCAGTGATAAATGTTTTGAAATGCACCACATGAAGGATGTGACTTTACATGATGAATAGTAAGTAGCACATAAGCTCTGTTTACATGTGTGAACTTCTCCATCTGTCCAACTCCATGTAAACACCATATTTCCTGACCAAAATTTTATAAAAGGCACCTTTGAAATTTGGCAAATCATTTGGTTTTGACCAAAAAAAGCATTAGTATCAATACATAAAAACACAATATATACACCTTATAAAAGGTTAAGAATCACTTAGGGACCAGTTCAAATGTTTGATGTGGGATATTAAACTTTATTCATTAAGTATTGAGGCATACCCCCTACCCCCCAGAAAAACATTATTCTGTAAATACTGAATTTCCGAGTATAGTGGCCTCTTTTGTCACGCATTCTTGTGTTTTGCCCTGTTTTTAAATGTTTATTGAATGATCCTGCCATCATAACACATGCATGCATCTCTGATCATCTGTTGAACACGTGTGCATCTCTCTGTTATGGCTGTCTCTACTTACAGGATGTACTCATGGGGATTCCGGGTTAGAATTGGTCCCTAGCTGGTCGTAAGAGGCGATTAAATGAATTTAGCTGGCAGGCTTGGTGACTTAGTTGAGGGCTTGTCAACGTATTTCTACTGGGCGGATTGTTGTTCATAATATCAATCACTGGATTGTCTGGTCCAGACTCAATTACTTACGGGTCGGTGTCAAATAGCTGGACTAATGCAGAGTTAAACAACAAACACACAGATCTGTACCTTTCTTTGTAAGTCTTTCATCATCCTTAAACCATTTTCAGAAAATTGAGTATATGATTTCACCATATATGTGAGCTTGTTATTTTTCTGTTATATTTGTTGCTGTGGAAGGAATGAAAACAATTGAAGCCTCATTTTACGATTGGTTATAAAACTAAGGTTACAAAATTTAAATTTGCACTTATCTTGGGTCACACTTTGCATCCTGTAGCACATAATAAGTATTAAATATTAAATGTATTGTAAAATTAACAATATCTCTGTGTTGAAAAGAAATTTAATGAAAAATGCATGCAGCTTGGCCTGTTTCAAGGTGTTACATCCTTTCCAACATAAATCCGCTCCGGATTTATTTTATTATTTAAGTTTAGAAAAAGGGGGAAAAAAGTAAAATATGCTTATCTTTTAAGTTCACACAGCATTTGTAATACCAGTTATAAAAACATGCCGATTGGGTTGTGTTTTCAAGATGCGTTGAATAGATCTAGACCTCTACAGCATGAAAAAAATCTATTTTTGATACATGTAATTCTTGAATATCATTCCTGTAGGCATCATGTTGATTTGTACCTTAGAGTTCTAGAATTTCTTGCCTTGTTAGCCGATGTAAGCTGTATATTTATGAATGTATGAAAATGACTGTTTGCTACTTCTTGTGATATATATTATATCAGATGACCAATTATTTTGATCTGTCATGATGTAGGTGTCATTATGTGGGGAGGAGGATATAGGTGTCTGCTAAGGGTAAAGGGTGCAGGTGCCCTGTAGGGGATGAGGCGTAGATGCCCTAAATGGGATGGAGGGGTAGTTTCATGTATGGGGATGGGAGGAAGGTGTCCTGTTGGGGGATGAGTGATGGTAAGAGTTGGAAGCACAATAAAATAGTTTGAATGTGTGGGAGTCAATGCAGAATCATGTACTCGTGTATTGCTATCCTCTGTGACTTGTTATCTGGATGTGACTGGTGAATGATGTTGTGTAAATAAATATTTTTTATATTCTGTTGTGTCATGGGAGTTGTTAGTTCCCCTAAAATCACAAGACTGACAAAGTTCCTTGGTAGTCACATTCACACCTGTGAGAATTTGATAAAGACGTGCCAAGTTCAATTAACAATATCACAGTTATATTACACATCCGGAATCTTTCAGCAGGAGGTTGATACCACAAACGTTATATTCCAGTACAACCAGCATGCTCAGCAAACAGTTGTTTTTCTATTGTAAAACTCGAGAACAAGTATTTTTTCCCCTCATTTTCAGGATGTAATGTTGGCATATAATAATTATGAAGATCGGCCTTAGCCGATGGTTCCGAAATAGATGAGGCTGCCAACCCCCTTTTGGTACGCGGGATGCGGGGGTCCATTTAGTCTGTGTTCGGAAGTCGGTAGTAGGCGGGACGCAAAAATAAATCGTATCTGGTACAGAGATTCAACATTTTAAACAAATAAATGGTGTATTTGACAGTTTCCGTTATAATGTTTTATTTTTTCGATATTAATCAGTAATTTACCTTCAAATCACACAATTTCTCAATGCTTTTGACATTTTGGTTAAGTGGTATTCGGGATTCAGTGGAGGAGGGGGTTGTCACCCTGAAAGATAGTCCCCAAGCCATGGTGGTAGGCTAGTGCTACGTCCGAGACGTCGGATATTGACGTAAAAGTGTCAGATATTCAACGAATATTCAAATTTAACGCATAATGTTTGAGAATTACATGTTTGTCATCAACAGAAGTAAATATACTACTCAAAAGAAGTTAAGGATCACCCGATTCTTTCATATTGGTAAAGTTAATCTGTCATTAACTATTGTAATATGAAAGAATCAGGTGATCCTTAACTTCTTTGAGTAGTATATGTTCACTCTATAAATACTGTAACCCATCGAAAATAAACATTGTCTAGACCATTACAATCTGAGGCGCACGTAAAATCTCTTACTGCGACCAAGTAACCTCCCACCAGCTTAATTCTTATAAATGCGAGAACGGTAACGAGACACGTACACATAAATCACATTCTTTCGGTATAGTTTGTGTTATGGGCTGTCGTATAGTTGTAAAGCATACTGTATTGTCAAAATGCATATGGAACTGACACAAGTTGTGAAACTTACATGGTCGTCGACAATACACACACGTTTCATTGCACAATCATTTCACAAGAAAATGGTGATACAAAGCTCCCAAATCCAACCGCATCTAGGCATCGGTAGAATTATGATATTGAAAAAAACATTTGGATTGAAAGAATCTAACACCGTCTTCTTAATCGTTCTAAAGAGGTTGAATTTGACGGCAAAGCGAATTGTTTAATATTACCTGAGCGGTAATATGCATTTTACCAGTTTGATGTATATGTAGACGGTACTACAGTTAGATATTTATGCACATTCTCTTTAAGCAATGCAGAATTTGAAACAAAACCTACTCACGTTTAAACTTGAGCCCAGTTCTCACAATGTGAATGTATACAATATTGACCTTAATTTTTCTTAGTGCGGTATTTAGGAGATGATGTGATGACAAGGACAATTAAACACACATGTTTATAAATTATTGTGCAGATTTCATTGGATAGTTCAATTAATTGATAAACAGTGTTGTCATTGTTCGTCACCAGGACTGGCACACAGATTGAAAGTGACTACAAATGCTAAACTAATACCGTCCCAATACACGAAATCAAACAGATGGGTATACGGTGTGCTGGATCTCCCCTGCATTCTGGTTTTCTGCTTGAGGTAATCAGTTACGATACATGCATGGTGGGCACGAGCGTATCGGCTTGACGGAAAACGTGAAGCAATATGGTGCGCAGACGGCATAACCATTGGCGCCCGTATGTTTTCTCAGTGGTACTGTCCAGAAACCTTTCCACGGGCTATATGCAGTGCCGTTCTGGCAGTCACAGCGACCCCGTCCCATATCATAACAGACACGCACTCAAATTTGTCATGTTGCATTATGATGACGTTCTTGAGGACGCAGCCGTGAAGATCCGGTTTAGAATTGGGTCTTCAGCAACCCACGTTTGTCGGAAGAGTCCACAAACGGGATCGGGTGGTCAGGCTCGCTGACTTTGTTGATGCTTGTCATCGTATCTCAATTTATCACTGGATTGTCTGGTTCGGACTCGGTTATTTACAGAGCGCCATCAAATTGCAGGAACATTGCTGTGTGCGGCCTTAAACAACAAGCAAACGCCCCCAGACACGGCCAAGGTGATACAGAAAGTCCAGAGTGAACGTCCACGAGACCATTAGCTATTCCCCTATTTTCTACGCTCTAAACACCATTGGTGTCTGGCTAGAATGCGTCCATTGGTTAACGGTCGTACAAGAAGCAGTCACCGATCATACAGACGAATTTTAATCGTCTTGCCAGGAACCCCGGTGGCCTGGCGCATGTGAACAGCGATTCGATTGGTTGTTTTGGATACATTTCGTGAAGTCTGGTTTCTGATTAATCGATCTCGGACAGGCCCGATAATTAACATTTTGTGTCTGCATAAACCTGTACCAATCTGCAAACCACAGACATACAGAAACATTGAACATTTTGTCTACATCTCGCTGTGTTCTTTGAAGCATGCCAATATCCCTTGTTAAATATGTTATCGATAAGGTTTGGAAGTCCAGCATTTGACATATTGCTTTCTGAGTAAATTTCAGATGACTTTTGCTTTTATTTTGCCCAAGATGTACTGAACCTCAGAAAATTCCACTTGTCTCAAATACTTTCTGTGAATATAAAGAAAGAAGTTCTTCCTTGTTTTGTGTTACTGATTATGCATAAACTTTGAGACATGTGCTGGACCAAGGAATATTTCTCTGTTTGTACTGCGGATTTTTATGGAGCTTTGGAATCCAGTACAAAAGGGGAATGGACATGTCATTCAGAGTAAATTGAGAGGCTGTTTTGCAAAGCAGTGTTACCTTCCTCAGAAACCTCTTGATGGTGGCCTCGAATCGAAGTACGCCCTAATAATGGTTTTAGGTTCGTCAGCACCCAACCCCTGATCGTGGGTTTCACCAAAGTGGTAAACGTCTGAGACCTGCATACACTTTGGGCTTTCCTCCCACATTAAGCTGACACGCGGTGATATAACTAAAATACATGATGTCAGAAGTGACTTTATTACTCAAAACATTTATGTAGCTACGATCGCCTTGTGAAAGTGGTTGTAGGCCAGGTGAGCTACATTGTCATGATGTTATCCATGTATTGATCAGTTACTACGACAGTATGTATCTGTTGATCTTAGCTTCAAAAGACCTTGTTAATGGCATCACAGATAACAGAGTCTGGTAAACGGTTTTGTTTTTATTACAAAACATATCTCAGAACACAAAATAGCATAATTTCCTGAGATATATGGAGACTGGAATGTTGTTTTCCTGTTATATATGGAATGTCTTATCAGAGTTGTAGAACACATTTAGAGCAGATGTCATGGTGGTGACCACATCAGAACCGTGGGAAAAGTGTTCAAATATATTTCCCAATCGTCAAAAGTGTAGTTCATTATTCATAACATCGTAGCCATGTCATCAGCATTATTAGTACCTCTCTTATTCTGGAACTGGTCCTATATAATTGGTCTTCATGTAAATACAGAAGGCCAACGTCGGAGAATAACCGGTTTTGATTATCCCACGAAACATATTCCATGGCACTTAAAAGGTAAAATAGCGGTTAAAATCATATGAATGGATCACTGAAAATCAGTGATGACACCCTAATGGTAGCACCCGCCCCTCAAAGTTCACAGGTGGCCTGTAACTGCGCAGCACAACCACCAGCAATAATTGATATCCTTTACCCAGCAGTCGCACGGGGTAATCAAAACATCTGCCCCTAAAGCCTTAATTTCCGGAACTGAAAAGTTAAAGCCAGAGGTCAGTTCCTTCTACAAACCAGTAAAAGTGTGTGTCATAATGACATATGAATAAGATTTGTGCGGTAGATATGCCTGATACAGTATCTCAGCTTGGTTTATAACAAGGGAAATTAACACTGAACCTGTCAGGATTATAAACAACTGGTTTTGGAAACACTGTCTGTAAACGAGGAGGCGTTAATCGAAGTTAAATATACACAGTGAATGTGGTGCAAATGATTGAAAGCGACCACATACTGAACTTTCATAAATGATGGCTGATTGTGGTGAGTTTAAACTAGCTTGTGATCTTGTAACATCTATGCTAATAATAACAATCGAAAATTAATCCAGAATTCAGCCTGGCAACCCTTTTCAACCCAGTGACTCAGCTTTGAACGGAGTATCAGTCATGTCACAGTAGTAGTATAGGACAGAACCCTAGAATCCGGAAACGGTTCTGCGCATGCGCGAGGAGGGCATGCTGGGTAATGCGTGCGCATCCAAGATGGCGGGACTTCCGGTTCCGGGAGCCGTGCGCCTCCAAGATGGCGGCACGTCCGGTTCCGGGAGCCGTGCGCCTCCAAGATGGCGGCTCGTCCGGTTCCGGGAGGCGTGCGAGGAGGAGGAGGAGGGAGCAAGAGGAGGAAGAAGGTAGAGGAGGGAAGAGGAGGAAGGAGGAGGAGGAGGGTTCTTTTTTGTGTGTTTGTGTGTTTGAAGGGCCGTTTGTATAAGAAATAAACTGTTCTTTTTTCATCCTAGCTTCCTAGGGCCGTTGGAGAAAATAAAGTTTAACAGCATGGTGGCTCATGGCCAAAGGCTTGACAGCATGGCGTCTTCTTGCCGGGTTCTGGGTTGAACACGATAGTTGATCACGAAGATAGAAAATAATACGGACCATCCCAGCAGTCTGCTACGTCAACCCAATGTTTGACAAAACGTTTCAACGATTTCATACACCCCTATTTCGTCTTATACCACTGTGGACTGTGCCAAAATCGTCTCTGCTTCCCCGGGTGGAAAGGCCACTATTGTCCACGAATAGACTTTACTCATGTTTCATCACCATTCAGTGCTAGGACTGTGTTGGTGTGAGTGGCTTCGCTCTTTTTATA